GTAGCCACTAGTGTCATGTGATGACATACTCAGATAATGAATCTGACATTTGGCCTGTTTGTGTGGTTATGTTATTGCCCTATGGTAAATGCCATTCCTTATTTGTACAATCATGTGACACACATGTGCATGGATTGCATATAATGTGTGTAGTGTGTGTTTATCCGCTGATGAGTAGGTGTATTATGAATATCAATTCTTTCCTTATGTAGATACTAGCCGTATACCCAATATCAGGATATGGCCTAGAGTGACGCATGATGGATACTACTTCATTAATGCTACTCTTTTAAATGGAGTTACTGGTGTTATGGTACAGGTGCTATATCTCAATGGGACAGTGTTCTTCAAGCAACCTATCCTAAGGAATTCTTTGCACCATTATGTTATAGCTAACAGCAGTACTCGCTTACCTAATGGGACCTTTGATGTATTTGTGTATCCATTACTGAGTGATGGAAGGTCATTTGATAGTAATCATACTGCAATGAACTTCTCAGTAACTTGTACGATGAGCCATGATCCAAGTGATGATACACCAACTACTAAGAAAAGAAATGTACCTGGTAAGTTATCACAAAGCAATGAATTTTATCAAAAATGACTAGGAGAGATTTCTTGATTTTTATAATTTTTCCTGATGCATATACATGTTTTTATATTGTATTTTAAGTTTGAGTCAATTCCAATCAAAATTAGAATTTTTACGAATTGTCAAAATGACCCGCATCAATGGAAAATTAGCTCAAATGAATTGTTGACTTATATGTACACTGTACAAACAGAAGATGCTTACCCCAATCATGATTATGTTTATTATTTTACCCTTAATCTTATTATAGTTGGATTAATCATCACTGTTCTGATCTGTGCACTAGTATTATTGATTGTTGCTATAATTGCAGCTATTCTGCTAGGAGTGAGAAGTAAATTATAATTTATTTTTTAAAAGCAATGCAGTAATGGTTTGTTCAAATTTGCAGTGAGGAGAAGAGGACGATGGACACCTCATCCTAATGATGGAGGAAGAAGAGATGATGGAGGAGGAGGAGATGACGGAGGAGGAGGAGGAAATGAAGGAAGAGTTGATGAAGGAGGAGCAGTATTGAGACGAATAAATGGAGGGGGAGATATTGAAATAGATAATGTTGTTGCTAATCATAGTGGCAATGAAGAAAATAATGATATAGGACAAAGACAGGTACAGGTAGATAATGTAGAAAATGGGGACAACACGGTCAACACTGGTGATGAGTCTATTAATACTTCTACTCCTTCTCTACATAATGGAGGACAAATAGAACCAGCTACTGCGGATAAACATGAAGAAACTGCTACTGTGGACAACGCTTCAGCTCAAAGCAATCTTGCAAAACCAACGGAAGCTACAGAAGTAGGGTAAGTTATTATTATTGCTATTCTTAGTGTCTATTTGTATGATACTGATTATTTTACAGTAAAGAAGATGGACCTGTTATACCGGCAGATCAATCTTGTGGACTTCCAACAGCTCAAGATACAACTTGTAGCTCTGAAGTCAATTCATTGAGTACTCTTTTGCCACAAGATGATTTTCCTCCAAAAAGCACATTTACGTGGGGTATATTTAAGAAGAAGACTCATCAAGGACACGATCAGCCAGTGCCACCAAATGAAGAGTTGGATCAGTTACAAGGAGATGATTTTGCGTTGCCTGAACCTATTGCTGATACTGATAATGAAGAAAAACCTGATGTTAGTAATAATGATAATAATGATAATAATAATAATAATAATGTTTATAATGTTAATTTTTCGATTAGTTGGTTCATGGCATCATGGCTAGACAACAAAGCATACCTGTGGAGGATCAGGGCGCCACTTCACGGTTTGAATATTACTCTCCCACCAGTTCACTTAATACCTGTCAAGTAAGTAAAGGTAATAATAATAATAATAATCATTATTTTATTTTATTTTTCCCTGATACAGCTGAAAATTGAGAAGACCAACCAATGAATATTAAGACTAATCAAGCTGAATACTATTTTCCTACTTGCTGCCAATAATCATTGTCTTGCTAATCATTTTACTTTGCTAATCATTTGCTGCTTTTATCATGCAACCACTGTGTGCTTAAACTTATTAGACTTTATCCAATTCTCCCCTCCTTGTGAATATTAGGATTTTGTTTGAATTTTATTTATTTTTATTGAATAATAATAATTGAACTAAGCCGTGTCACAGTGATAATCAACAGAGTTTTAGATGAAAATATTTTTACATATTTATTTTTGCAAAATTTGAGGTATCTAGATACTATTGATTTCTTTGTATTGTGTTTGAGCATAAGCTACAAACATTTTTGAGGTGACGATGACAGCTGTTTCAGCCACACCCTTTGGCTTTGTTATGCTACCCCGGTATTCAATTCATAGAGCTCGAGAATGTTCTAGTCACTTCCAGAAAGCTATAGATTTTGTATTTAAAAGGGACTCCCCCAGGGCCTTGTCAAAAAGAAAGCTGAAAATGAACATCTAGAGTTTTCATGTTTGTAGTTGTCTTTTGTGTGGTGCAGCATCCCGTTTCTTGTTGTCACCACGATGGGTGCGAAAGGATATCACATTCTTTGAATTTTAACGCAGTCCAAGTTAATGGCACTGGTAAGTTTGTCTACCTATTATAGTAACCGCTACATTCATCAACTTACAGATATTATTTATGAGAACTTCACTGCTCCAGACAACATTACAGTGTATGATACTAGTGCTAGTGGCCATGAAACCAATGCTACTTTCTTTGCGGCATTCCCAAATTACTACAATAATACTCAGTGTATGATAGTGAGAGCATTTGAAAATGACTGCTTGTCCTCGAGCCAGTGTCCGAACCGTAAAGTAAGACTGTCTCAAGGAGGTGGAAAAAGTAGTATAACATTCATACTACATAATTTAACTGTTTCACAAGATGGAACAAGGATAGACATATGTGCTCACTGTGGTGGGTCATATGTCTGCTTCCTTCCAGTCTTTCTAACAGTTAAAGGTGAGGAAAGAAAGAGAGAGAGAGCAAGATATGAAGTAGATTTAACATATTCTTGTTATGAATTATAATGGTATTATTATTGTTTTATCAATAGTCCCTCCTGTTAACTTATCGAACTATGTATCAGTAAAGGTGACACCCAATGGGATTGTGATCACTGGGATCATTGATACTGACACCGAACTACTAATCATTATTAAGAATACTAATAATGAAACTGTCTATGAAGAAACTGTACATACTTTACCGTTTGTTGTTAGTGGAAATAAAATTGGTAGCAATTTTGATCCAGCAGCAAACTACACAGTAGTTATAA